TTTTTGGTGTTCAGGAAGATCAACTAGGTTGGATCATCAAGCAGAAAAATGGAAGAAAGTGACAGGGGCTTTTGCTAACGGGTGTTTATTTTAATCCAGCACAACTGTATCCGCGTTAAAACCAAGTGGTCCCTGATAAGCCTACTGTACATCTCGCAACTCATTTCTCATAGTTTATAAATGGATTTCAAAGATATGATTCGATTTATCTAGAACTTAATGTCATCAAAAATAATTGAGCATACCTTTTCAAAGTGACTCATATGAAATTGGCTCAGTAAATGGGTTTAATTCAGTGGGACTTCAACACTATAACTGTTTTGAATGAAGGAGTGTTTTCTTTTTAAGTAGGCAGATTTTATGTTTCAGTTTAAGTCGCAGGATGTTTCTTATAATAAAAACAAAAAAGGTTAATGCAGACGGAGAAACATGGCAAACTGGTCCGCAATAGGCAAGGTGAGTAGATCTCAGATTTTATTGGGATCTCAGAACAGGATAATATAAAATCTTCATGTCATTAAACTGCAGAATTTGTGCAGCAGACACAATCACTGCACATCCCCCCTGAACACACCACCCACACAGAGATGCTTTATGGTGGGAGTGTGCTGTGGCAATGTTTTTCCCCAGCAGGGACAAGGCAGCTGATCAGAGTATACAGGAAGATGGATGAAGCTAAATGCAGGGAAATCCTAAGAAAAAACAATACTTCTTTAAAGGCTTGGAAAGATTTTAGACTTCATGGGAGGTTTAATTTCCAGCTGGGGAATGACCTCAAACAGCCAGAGCAACAGCGGAATGGTTTCCATCAAAACGTATTTATGCATTTAAAAGGCAAAGCCCAAAACTGATCAAACCGAGAATCTGTGGTGAGATTTGAAAATTTAAATCCAGACACACAGATTAGTTTAATTTTGCACAAACTTGGGTGTCAAGATGCACAAGGCTGGTAAAACATTTCCACAGAAATACATACTGGTTTGGTTTTAGTGAAATCTTATAAAAAGTGTTTTTTGTTGAAACTTTGAATTTTTCCCCTTCATCTTTGTAGTTATGGATTTGGTTTTGGTTCATTACCTAAAACACAAAGACGAATGTGACTTTAATTTGGCATCATATTAAGGGCCCGATCTGGAAATACTCTTGCAAGATATTAAATGAAGCAGTGTGACTAGATGCTATGTATGTGGGCAATGTTATAGCCAGTATCCTTGAAAATGAGCGCTCCAACATTTCTGCTGTTTTATGCTGACATGTCAGCACACTTGTCATCAAAAATTGTTCAACACCAACGCTCAGAGAGCCGAGACTATTGCTTAATTTAGCTGTGGGATGTGCTAATGTTCAAGCAGTATGCATATGAAAAGGATTTAGGTCTATGTTCTCAATCTTTATACCACTGTGACCTATTTTACAGAATGACTCATATGAAGATGGCCAGCCAGCACAGCTGATTTTCAACACAGATAGTAAGCTACTTAATCCTAAATTGCAAACTCTGTCTTAGTGGGAATAATGTGTTTAAATGAACTTTCCCAGTCAGTTGTGGGTTCAGAAATATTTTCAGTAAAAACACAATTTAAGAATATTCTTGATACCTAAACTTGATCATGTCACTAATCTAATCTCTCCCAAGCTCTTGAGTAGCTTTCTTTTCCTTCCTGTTAAGACTGCAGCTCTCTTTACCAAACTGTTATATACTTAACTTGTATGAAAGCAGAACTTTGAACAGAAATCTTAACAATGTCAATTTGTGGCATATCCTCCTTGTTGAGGGTCTCTAATACCATCTGAAGGACAATTTTCAATCAGGAGTCTTCCCCATTGTGTAGGTGTGGGAATTTCTCAAGAAAATATGTTTTATTGGTTTTATATTCTAATTCCCTACGAAAGAAAAATTTGGGTGACAAATTTTAGTTATACTAATGAAAATGAACATATTTATGTGACTTCTTTATTGTCAAATGCATTTGCTAATTTCCCCATCATACACATGAATTTCAGAATCAAGTTTGTCAAGTAGGTTTGCAAGTACAAAGAATTTCCCCTAGTGTTGATAGTGCAGACAAATTAGATATGTATACAGAATGAAGAATCTGTAGCTATATGCAATATATAGTATATAACCATATACTATATACACAGTAGAATGTGCATTAATGTAACACAAGAGGTCTGGAGATGCTACCTTGGTGCAGTTTGTAGGTCATGAACGGGGGAGGGAGAGGCGCAGTGTCACGGGGGTCTCTGAGCCGTGTTGATAAGGCTGGTAGCAGGTGGGAAGAAACTGTTTTTGTGGCCTGAGGTTTTGGTCCTGATAGACCGCAGTGTCTGAAATAGTTAGTGGCTGGAGTGCGAGGGATCAGCCACAATTTTCCCTGCACGCCTCAGAGTCCTGGAAGTGTAAAGATCCTGGAGAGATTGAAGACTGCAGCCAATCAATCTTCCATAAGGATTTGAGGAACATCATGTGGTTTTTCAAAAGAATTGTGCCACCCTAGAGCAAGCATTTCCAAACTGGTGGTCACAATATAAGGGGTGATTGTTAAATGGTTTTCACAATCATGGTGATGTGATACCATGAAATACATATTTTTTTAATGTAACGTGAAATAAACAAATGTATCTACAGTTAAATTGTCATGATGGGGATTTTTCTGACCCACATGCAGGAAACCACAAGCAGGATTCAAAGGATCGGTATCTTTATTGAACAGAAAACAGAATCCAAGCAGGGTTCAGACAGTTCAGCTGCTTTGTTCCAGATGAGGAGCAGATCCCGGAGGGGGCTTGAGGATTGGAAAGGTGGGCTGGAGACCAAACGGTGGAGAGCGGGCAGGCAGACGGAGTAACAGCGGAGCCAACTTAGTCGGACAATCAGGCGGTGAATGGTAGTCCAGCTGCTCCTTATAAGTGTTGCACCAGATGAGAAACAGGTGAGTCACCTGTCGGGTTGGCACGCCCTCCAATTGGAGATCTGTTGGCAAACCTGAAGTCTCAGCCACACACAGACATAATGACAGAAATCAGTAGATATAACTTTTAAAGGCCTACTTTATTCAAATATTGAATATAGCGTTAAAATGCAAAATGAAATAATAAAATCATTACGTATTTTTAAGAGGTCCAGTCGTTTCATCTCTCTTTTAATTTAATTACTAAAATAATGTACCAAATTGGAGATCATTAAAAGTATGAAGCTGCTGTTGCTGCACTTTATCTGTCCGTGGCGTAGAGACACGTATAAGGTGTGTTTAAGTAGTCTCCATTTAAGTTCATTTTAATATAATTCTATCCTTCGATGTTGAACACAGGAGCGGAGCTAGATGGGGGGTCAGGGGTGGCCATGGCCACCCTTAGCCAATCGTTGGCCTTCCCTTGGGCCACCCTTACCATTTCTTCCCTCTAATACAGATGGTGGCAGCAGTAATACTCTTAAGTGGAATGTTGTAACTAATTTAACATTTTAATTGTTCATATATTAACAATTACTTAAAAAACAAAAACCCTGTGGTTAATTATGCTCATGAATATATTAACATTAAAGATGATAAATACAGAAAGCATGCTCTTTCCACAACTACATGTCTTAAGGGGTGAAGAGAAAATTATGTCTATCCAAGTCACCTCTGAGTCTTCAGTGAAATTACAGATAAATAACTTTAATAATAATCCATTTAATTTAGATATAAGTACTTGTAAACATTACTTCTATGCAGAATGGTTATTGATAAAAGTATGTTAGTAATGGCAATGAATAAGATGTTCGCCACAGAACTCAAACCTGAAAGAATTTAGTCCACTACACCTTTAATTTATACAGCATGGATGTTTAAATATAGGCATCTATTTGATAGCAAAGGCTGTAGGAAAATATAGTTAGTCTTTATTTAGAAAATATAGTTGTGCTCGTTAATTTTCCTGTTGGAACAGTGTAAAATGACCCTGAGATTCTGGCACCTATCTCCAATGGCGTAACGACACAACAATAGGCCGGTAAGCAACATTATCTGGGTGCGCCCCATACGAAGTACAACACCCCAACCCCCTCACCAATTCATCCCCCACCACCCGGGCCACTGCCGTAGACAACCAACTCGAAATGTGCCCCTTACATGCACACTTTATCCTTTCATCATTCTTCACTTTCACTAGACGCGGATATACTTTAGTATATTCAGCTGGAAAATGAGTCTTATCGGCCTACATTGAGTTTCACAGCCCCCCTCCTCACCCACGCATCTCTCCATTCATCTCCTGGTCGCAATCTTTACTCACTGTAGAAGCAACGTCCACCTATTTTAGGAAGTTTTTTTTTTCCGTTCTTCCAGCAGCTCTTCTTTGCTTTTTCTTTTCTGGAATCCCCTTAAGTACCTCTTTTTGGTATCCATCGTCGCTAACCCATTGTACATAACGGTTATGTTTTTAATCGACGCTCTGGATTACCCATAATTCCAAGTCGTATTGTAAAAAAATAAAATACTCAAATACATTGTTATTTTAACATCTTTATTGAGGTTTGAAACATTATAGGAGTGTATCTTTTACAAACCGTCTAATGAACTATACACAGTTATCGACGTAGTAATTAAAAGTAGCACTGACTGCTTTGCTACTGGTGTGGTGTTTAAAGGCTCACCATCATGTTGAAATCGGCTATGTGTTGTGGTACGTATAAATACGGTCCGGTCAATCAATTGAGTTTAGGGTGGATTTTAGACCAATTTTTTGCACCATTACATTTGCAAAGAGACATCCCAATCCACAACTGTATCTGTGGCCAATTAGGTGTCAGTGATGGGGCCCCTTACACCATACTCTGTTTACCGATAGTTACGCCATTGCCTATCCCCTTTCGGCCACCCCTCAGCGTATTATTGCCTGGCCCCCCTTATTAAAATGTTCTGGCTACGCCTCTGGTTGAACGGTGGAGCGCACAGGCTTTTAAATGTGTGAGAGAGAGTGGTGCTTTGTGAGTGTGTAGAGAGGGAGAGAGGGAAAGACAGAGCGCGCGCACTCCAGGTTGGCGCAGGCACCGGTCCTGGAGAACTGAACGCCTTGGAGCTGGCAGCATGGCTTCATCTCACGGAAGAAGCGACCTGCGCTTCGCAGACTGGATGGCAAGTTTACCGCAGAGCATGCACACCGTCCCGCTTGCCAACATGGCAATCCCCGGTAAGGTTTTATTATCTCCTCTGCTTACACCTTTACCCCTTGTTCTGATCCGCAACTGTTTCCAGCAGCGCGAGTCCGATCCTTTCATAATAGCTAAACATTTACGGTAATAAAACCACTTTTCAAACTCTGGCGTTTCACTTTGACTTGAAACAAAGCATATCAAAGAATTGTGCTCCACTTGAACTGTGCGTCAACGCAACAAAAGGTGAGACCTGTTGCGCAACAGATGTGCCATCCATTTGTTAACGCGGTGCGCCTATAAATAGCACAGGGATGAGCGCTCGCTTTTATGTCCTTATTACCTCAATACTAGAAGAGAGAAATGGTGAGAATAGCCGCTCCTGCTTGTGGCGGGGTTGTGCCCAGAAGGGGATAGGATGGGTTCTGTCAGGGCGCAGATGATGATGATGATGATGATGGGGATGATGATAGGAAATGAGCTGTTAGACCTTCACCCAGTCAGTGCGCAGGTCTCTTAAACTCCATTCAAAGCAGACACGCTGTTTGTGGAGCTCAGCGCTCATCTGGCCGATAGGTTTGCTTATTAAAAGCCCATTAATCTCAAAATCTGCTGCCCTACCGATTAATGCTCCACAAAAAAGATCCTGTTTCTCTTAAATTTTTTAACCCCTGTCCTGCTGATAGAGCAATCGCATGCTTTCTAAAGCGGTTCCATGTGAAATAAAACTATAGCTGTTTCTTACATGCAAATGAAATAATACTCAATGTCCAATGAGGCGTGGCATTTTTTTCCCACCAGCAGTGGTCAGCTTCCGATGATGCCTAACCACATGCAAGCATGTATTTCCTTATAGATTTCACCTGTCACTAGTGTAGGACAGGGCTAGGAATGAATTGCATGCTTTGCATGTAGCTGATTCACAATTTCCCGTGACAAAAGCAGCGTGAGAATATGTTCTGTCTCATTTAATTAGGTGTCATTACTTCTCTGCAGCCCTGCTGCTGCCCTTTGCCTGTCCTCCATTTGGATGCTGGTTTTGAAAAGGCTCAGTTAGTCTGGCTTTTTGCATTTGTTTGCATACAATTGGCATAATGTTTTTAGAGATGATTCTACAAATTCCCAGCGTTTTTAGAATGGTTTATTCCAGCAGGAACCATGTGTTCCTTTCAGGTTGGATTCTGATTTTAAAAAGCTCGTCTGACATCACATTTGGATTCAACTTGAAAAAACCTTTATTAAAGTACCATTATAATTGAAGAAATTTTATTTTGCAGGATGTATGATTAATCATAAGGGCTGTTTACTTGTACAGTGTACCACAGTTTGGATGATACAGGTCACAATGATTTCTTCTGCCAAGAAGCTCAAAGACAAGGCTGTCTGCGTTCCCAGTTTTTCACAGCTGTAAGCTTGTAAATGCCTTCTGTGTGCTGTGGAAATTGTTTCCTTTGAGGTATTATGCTGCAGAACTGATTTTTGCAGGGGGTGGGGTGTTCATGCCTTTATAACACAATGGTTTTTCAGAGACTCATGCCAGGTTGACTGACATGATATGACAAAGTTGATAGGTTACAACTGCATATACTGGTGATGCTTTCTCAAATGACTAGGATAATTCTTTCTACCACCGAAAGCAGACGTCCACCTTTGTCTTAATACCTGAATAAGCAGTTTGGTTTGCTTGTGTATAAAAAAAAAATCAATCTTGAACTGGTGCACTGAAAAGATGAAGAGGTTAATAACAAGCAGACACTTCAGTCGATAATTGAGCCTGAGGTGGTAGCAGTGGTGAAGCAGTGGCTAATCTCAAAGTGACCTAGCTCTAAGAACTATGCTACAATCTAGCTCTAAATATGAACAGTCTGATCTATTTATGGATCGACTTCAGTAGACCCTTAAAGATTTGCTGTGATATCGGACACTTAATCATAGAAAAAAAGTAATTCGAAGTCCTGTCAATTTTGAGATGGATACTACCTGTTCCCTACAGATGCTTGATTGGATTAAGGTTTGAGGAATTTAGAGACAAGTTAAGTCCTTGGGCTTCACAAAGCGTTCCTGAACCTGTTATGTTGGTTTATAGTTTTTTTTTTATTTGACCCACAGGCAGAATCACACAGAGAACCAGTGAGTTTTAACGTTTTATCCACAAAACAACAAACATCTGGATGTGGAGAATGGCTGGAAGTCAGTTGAACTGTCTGGTTGGTCTGAGGAGAGAAAAAAGGGTGATCAGGAAGGACTTGGTTGATGACAACCATAAAATGATTGATTTGCGTACTTGAGGGATGAAGGGGAGGTAGCATGGATCTGTAGGGGTTTGATTTAGTGGGCTTTGCCGACTGTACCCCAGATGTTCAGGAGAATGTGATTTTGATGCGGGAGCATTGGTACTTGCAAGAGACGTTTTGCTGGAACAATAACAGAGTCCACATTAAAAGAGATTCACAAGAAGATACATTTAAATAAGAAGGATATTTCTGGTTTAGGTCTTTGGCTAGAATACCAGCAGGGGTAGTCATCTGGCAAAGAGAGATGATACTCTGCCCCCTTATATACACACTAGACATCTTGATTGAGAACTTTTCTTAGGTGTGCAGCAAATTGCATCGGCCCAGCTATCAGGAAAGATCCTCTCTGTGCGAGGAAGCTCATTCACACAAGAAACACAGCAAGAACCCCAGAGACCCTAACAGAACCAATTTTAGCTGCAGGGTATTGCTTTATTTATCCTACTAAATAATGCCACAATAATGAGGAATTGCTTTCCGATGAAACTTGTACATAAAAAGCAGGAATGCTTAAATAGGTGATATATGTCAGAGTAAGCCTAAACCACTGCTCTGCCTCCAGCGGCTAAAGATGCACCAATCCTATACCTGGTTTGGACATCGGCTCTGATACTAATAAGCTGGATCGGATATCAGTGATTTGATATTGGATATCGGAGATCCAATCCAGCACACTTTACATGGAAAAATTATTTATTTCTTTTTGCTGCTTATTTGTTGATAATTGGTGTAGAGTACATTTATATCAGTATTAATTGGTTACCTTCTTTTAACAATATTTATGTAAGGCCAAAGCCTTCATTCACATGCCAAGATATATGGTTCATTATTCAACAGTAGAATTGGACAGGTATTAGTTGATATGCTCAGCTCAGGTATCTATATCCTACTTTCCTTGGTAGAAAATCACCAGTGAAAGAAACCATCTAGTCGCTGACAGGATTTATCGGATCTGACCACAGTATACTGTTATATATTTCCTATCATGAAAGCGGGACAGATGGACCCAGTATTCAAGGTGAGACAGTCAGTAGGAAAGTTCAAAACGTTTATTAAAACAAGCACAGTGACAGAACTGAAGTGGGCTGCTGAGGATATGCGGACCTGTAGCGACTGCAGGAGGGGGGCTGGGCACCGCCCAATCACTGACACTCTGGTTTAACAGTTCAGTCCATCCTCTCAATCATATTCAGGATCAGCCAATGCACTGCCAACGAAAAGCGGCCCTGAGCCGTCCAGAGCATCCCCAATGCAGCAACCTCAGTGAGAAAGCATAACTCCGATCCAGGACAGGGATTAAGATCAGACTTGAGTAGTTCTATAATCCAGGAGAGGTTCCGATCCACACAGGAACGGACAGATCTGGGTTCCAGGAATTCATCAGGGCGTGAAGGCAGGTTCAGAGTCCCATGTGTCGAGCATCCAGCTCAGACAGAAATGCACCTGGGAGGACAGATTCAGATTCCCGTGTGTCGAGCATCCAGCTTAGACAGAAACACAGCTGGGAGGCAGAATCCAGCAGGAGTCCAACCGGGGTTCAGGTGAACAGATCAAGCAGGGATAGACAGGGCCAGTGGATGAGAGGGAACAGAATCAGGAAAACAGAATCACTCAGGAAAAACTAAAAACGCTCTCACCACTGGTTAAGGATTTAACTAGGCTAGGGGGCTGAAAAATAATCTCCTGCTGGGAATGGGGACATGAACCTTGGAAATAACTAAAACTGACAGAGAGGACACAAACAGAAGGCAAACAGGGAACAACCAAACAGCAAAAAATGATCTGGCCATGATAGCTGGAACGGAGTGCGATATAAGGGAAACCAGCAGGTGGATGAGATGAGTGATAATTAAAAACTGGAAAGAGTTAAGCAAGTGAAAGGCGTGAGTAATTAAGGGGAGCTATCAGGGCAGATCATTACATTTCCGATGCTCCATGACACATGGTTGGTACTTTTATTGGTTAGCGTGGGGTTAGCTTGCACATCTTGGGTGCTCGTCAGTTATGCAGCTTGATAAGATACTGTTCTCTAGAAAGTTTTTAAATAACTTTGTATTTAAACCAGTTATGGGGGATTTGGATTCGATAACTCATCTCTATGTCATATATTTGTTTTGCCCAGCCACTGAACCTGGTCACTCGGCAGATCGGACTCACCTGGTTCAGTGGCTGGGCAGAACAAACATATGACATAGAGATGATTTCTTTTTACTCCAGATCCCCCATCTCTGATTTAAACCCACCATTACATTTTAGCCATAGTTAGTGGTCTGTTGGATTGGAGCATGCAGGCCAGCATCCTTATATGTATATCCAGCTCATCACTGTTACCTCCTCTGACATCATTGAGAGATTCTGACCATTGCAGACTAGTACCCCTAAGCACCTTAAGGTTTTGAGACACGCTGACTGAGTTGTCTAAAATATCCCTGGTGAAACTTACTATAATCTTATCTTCAACTATTTTTCCCCTGGTTCAACACCTGTGGTTCAGGATGTTCCCACAACCGGGTGCCATTACGGAGTTGCTGAAATGTTTTTTTTTCCAATTAGTTAATACTTTATAGAAACAGCTAATTTACATCTCATTAAAACATTCCATTCTCATTTTTTCAAGAGCATTTCCTTAATTTATCAAGTTTGCTTGTATTCTCCCAGAACAATCAGTGAATCGCTCAGCCTTTATTGCTTTATAATAAATCAGTCTGTTTCACAAAGGAGTGGGTTTTGTTACAAACCCAAAT